AGCCTATATTGGCAGGATGGAATAGCTTTGTTTATACTCTAAGAGTTTTTTTTTTTTTTAATGAACTTGGGGTCAGAGAGATTGTCTAGCAGGTCGGGGGCTTGCCTTGCACAGGCCACCTGGGTTTGATCCTGGCATCCATCTGCCACCTGGGTTTGATCCCTGGCATCCATCTGGTCCCCTGAGCCTGCCAAGAGTGATCTCTGAGCACAAACGGGTATCACCCCAAAACCAAAAAATATTTTTTTTTAAAAAAATAGAACTTACCACGGGCCCTCCGGCCAAAAAAGAAAGTTACTTAAATTTAGTTTAAAAACAAAAAAAAAGAACTCACCCTTATGCAGAGATAACACCTATGAGGAATTAGTATCAACTCTAGGAGTAATGCATTATCTCATCATTTTTTCTTAAAGAAGGAACTTCACTCTAACTACAATTCCTGCACAAGCCTATAAAATATATGATGGGATACAATAGCTGGTATGATAGTACAGAGTGTCTTCTCAGTATCTTCAAGCTAAGTTTACTGATATAATAAGATGCTCTACATTTATACTGGAAAAATGAGGTATTAACCAATTACGATACAATATCTTTACACAGGAAACTTCTAATTTTGTTGCAATTTTTTCTTAAAATTGCTTAAACTTACCCACTTAATTTGTTAAGTGGATCAAACATATAGTCTCCTAATGGACACATTAGGAATGACCTGCGAGTACCAACGTAGGAAGAAGCTCCAAACACTGACTGTATGGCTTTAAGACAAAACCGAAAATTAAAATTTCTACACAGTTAAGTCATTTGCAAAGGCTTTGTCTAAAAGCAAGCTAAATAGATACTCTCAAGTTGAAACAGGGTAGGATAAATTAGTAAGATTAACCTAATTTTTATAAGCTCTCTCTATATTTTTGCATTTAAATGTGAAATTTTGGTCCATATCACGTTTTTTTAAAAAAAAAAAGGCAATGATTTTCAAAGAAATCTGAATAAGCCTGAATGGTTTTACAATCAGAGGGCCAGAGAGGTACTATATGGCTTAAGGCATATGACCTGGTTTTTACCCCCAGCACAACACAACACAGCACAATCCCCCCTCAGTACTGCTGAATGCAGTCCTGTAGGGTTCCCAGCACCACCAGGTAGCTGTGGCAAACTCTGGAACCATAGGACCAACCACTATCACATGCTTCATCTTAGTAGGGAACAACTGCCCACACAGCTGACTGAGAATCAATGGGGGGCGGGGGGAGGGGGTGCGCACACTCAAAATAAAATAACCTAAAAGATGAAATTAATCTGAGATTCCTGATACTAGAATAATATAGAAATTCCTGAGGAAGCTGAAATAGGTAAAGAAGGTATGAGAGTTCCTGACTTATTTTTCTAGAGCCAGGGATTAGGGAAAGTGGTTATCTCAAAGCCTGAACCTACTTTTCTTTGGACTCTGTATGAGAAAATAGAGAGAAATGAACTTCCAAAAGATTCCATCCATCCTTTATCCTGCAGGAACCATTGATATCAGCGTATGTTATTCACTACTGTGAGAATCACCAAATAACACACTATTAAGCCAGCTTGAGTCCATCAGAGATTCTATAAAAATGACATGGCCACGCCATTAAAGTGACAAAACTTCCATTTCTTGAAGAAGGCAGATTTTATGGAAATGAATTGGGTAGCCTCTATCTGTAACCAGATGCAAGTTCAGCACATTCACAAGAACGAGACCCAAAGTTAAGTGGTGAAAGCCTTAACATTCGCTTTTTTTTTTTTAAACAGGGCTCCTTTATTACCGAGGCCAAATTATTATGAAAATCTATTCCTTCAATACCCATAGGCAAGGTTTCTGGCATAGGCTCAGTGCAAAAGCTTATCTATAATAGAACCAATTTGAAACAATTTTTAAACTTTGAGGCCCAGGAAGGCTTGTGAACGGATTTGAAAAGGAAAAGAGAGCTCCAAAGGACGAGTGGAGTGAGACAAAGCAGCACTTGATTGTCTATGCAAATGGACGGTCAGTTCAATTGCTAACGGTAGTCTGAGACTGGCAGATGCTGATCACAGAGATTGATGGGGACAGACGGCAGAGCCAAGCCAGTCTCAGCCTCCTGGGGTGATCAGACTGCCCTGGAGACCCCTTGGAGACCCCCGCATACCAGGAAAGTGGTAGCTATGTTCAGAGAGGACATGCATAGCAATCGCCGAAGGAAAACTGTTTTACAAACCAAATTAACTCCAAGCCACAGATTAAATAATATAATTAAGATCTTGATAAATCAAGCATTCCTCCCATAAAACCTTCAAAGCACAAAGCCATAAAACAAAGTTAGAGGGGGGAAAAAAAAAAACAATTCATTCTAATCCAGCACTTGCTTCTTACAAAGTTTTCTTAAAGCAGCAAATTTTCTAACTTTTTAATTAAAATAGTTATAAATTCAGAAGAGGCTGCAAAGACTTTCACAATGAAATAGTATATACTGTTCCTCCCGTGTCCAGTGATAACAGCTAAAAGAATACGAAAACCAAGACTTTTATATGAATACAATCCATTCAGATAAATCAGAATTTATCCGTTAAACATGCATGTGTGTGTTTGAGTGTAATGGGTCTATAAAGGAAATTTAATCACATATAGTGCAGATATGTGTAACGCAGCCACCACTAATACCAAAATATTCAACACCATAAAGACTATATTCATAAAAGAGTTATTAAAAAAAAAAGTTTAATCCAAGGGCAAAGAGACAGTACAGTGAGCAAGATGCCTGCATGAACAGTCAACCCACATTCAATCCCTGGCACTGCAGATGGTCCCTGAGTACCAGCCAGGAGCAGTCACTAAGAAGAGGACAAGAAGCACTTCCTAAGCACTGCCAATGTGCCCCCAAACAAAAATAATTAAGAGCTGCTCCAGGATCTATGTCAACCTCCATATCTGAAGTAGGAACTTTAGCCATTAAGGATTACAAAAAGAACCAGCTTCAGCTTTTTCATTCCTTTTTCTTAAACTTCAAGTCCTATAACCCAAGGTCAAAAAGGCAAATAAATCTGAGTTCAAAGACAGACTAAAAGCAGCTCTGAGGGCGGTGATATTTGACTACTAACTAGAAGCAGGAAATAGAGATACATGTTCAGCAGGAGTTTGGACAAAAGCAGTTTAACTGCCTGAAACCAAACTGGGTTTTTGGTTTGGTGAAAAGATTTTACTACAGGACTGGAGCAATAGCACAGCGGGTAGGACATTTGCCTTGCATGCAGGGGCCGACCTGAGTTCCATTCCTCTGCCCCTCTCGGAGAGCCCGGCAAGCTACCGAGAATATCTCGCCCGCACGGCAAAGCCTGGCAAGCTCCCTGTGAAGTATTCGATATGCCAAACACAGTAACAACAAAGTCTCACAATGGAGAACGTTACTGGGCCCGCTCGAGAAAATTGATGAACGGGAGGACAGTGACAGTGACACTCACATAATTGTCAAAAATTTTATGTCATTTTGTGAGATGGGAGTGCAATAATGTGGGGTGGAAACATTAAGTGAGGCTGGGCTTTTTGGGGGTTTTGTTGTTTTTTTTTTTTTAGGATTTTACCTGGCATTTCTGCTGAGCTTTGCTGGGGGACAGTGTGATTCCAGGGATTAGGGATTAGAACCTGGATATCTCTTACACAAAGCTTCAGCACACTGAGTAATCTCTCTGGGCCTAAGGGTGGGGTTTTTTGGTTTTTTAAGGTTATAAACCAACCTTTGGACTGAAAACACAGGGAGAAGCAATTATATGGTGCTGATGACCAGGCAATGAAATACAGGACATAACAGCATCCAGAAATATACCAGATAAGCTAAGAAAGCAAGAAGGTGCTAAGTTTTTAGAAGTAATAATGTGAAAGCAATAAACTATTATTTTGTAGTCATGTCTGTAAAACATGAGCTTACCACATTAAATATAAATTAATAGTCATACAGATTTGTTTAGGCATAAATAGCTGGTATTTTGGAATAATAATAAAAAAAAAAACAAACAGAACAAACTTGTGGATGTTTCCCAAAAGCATTTACTCCCTTTAACCTGATAAGCTTTGGGTTGGGCTCAATGGGTCAAGTGTATGCTACACACACACACACACACACACAAACACACACACACACACACACACACACATACACACTGACGCCTGGCATGCAGGAGGCCTGGATCCCAATCCCAACACCATACGCCCCACCAAACACACACACATATGCTTGACACCTGGCATGCAGGAGGCCTAGATCCCAACCCCAGCAGAGTCAGGAGTAACCTGTACTTCTAGGTGTGAACCAGCAACAACTATTTTTAATGAATCTCTTAAAATGTAGTAACCAAAAGATAAGATTAACATAGCACTGTAGCACTGTCCGTCCGTTGTTCAATGATTTACTCGAGCGGGCACCAGTAATGTCTCGATCATGAGACTTGTTACTGTTTTTGACATATCGAATGCATCACGGGTAGCTTGTCAAGCTCTGCCGTGCGGGCGGGATTCTCTCCGTAGCTTGCTGGGAGAGGAATGGAGGAATCAAAATCAGGTTGGCCACGTGCAAGGCAAACGCCCTACCTGTTGTGCTATCGCTCCAGCCCTGTGCTATTGCTCCAGCAATTTAAGTTCCTTAAATAATTATTCGCAGAAATACACTATTTTTAAAAGAGTCACTGTCACTGTCCTGTTGTTCATCAATTTGCTCGAGTGGGCAATAGTAACGTCTCCATTGTTAGACTTGTTGTTACTGTGTTTTGGCATAACGAATATGTCACGGGGAGCTTGCCAGGCCCTGCCGTGAGGACAGGATACTCTCGGTAGCTTGCCGGGCTCTCTGAAAGGGACAGAGGAATCGAATCCGGGCCAGCTGTGTGCAAGGCAAATGCCTACCTACTGTGCTATCGCTCCAGTCCCAGTATGTCAAGTAAGTTTTAAAAGAGTAGGTCTACTAAACTCATTTTATAATTCACACGAAATCAGCACTTACATTCAAAGTTTAGTATCCAGCATCCATTGAGAATCCCAAGCATACATTTCAGAGTACTTTGAACTGTGTCACCAGGAACAATGACATGTGTTACTAGAAAGAATGTGAAGAAAGCAGTTAGAAGGAACGACAAAATAATTCTTTAACTAGTTTGCTATCAGGAACCAGTTAGTCTGCACTTCATAAACCTACCTGAATTCTCTTTAATGTCAACCAACTTTATATTTAAGGTATGCCTTTTTTTATTATCATTCTCTAGCCTGTACACCAACATGAAAAATCAGTTCACGAACCGTATAATCCTAAAGGCACATTAGCAAATGCAAAATTTTTTCTTTTATTTTCAAATTGGAACTTAGAACAGAAAGCACTACAACACTATAATTCTACTATGATCTGTCATTAGCAAACTCACTGATTTGCCCTTCCCACATATCATTATTCTGTCCTAAAATATGTGCAAAGCTTTAAACTTCACATTTCAGAACTAAATTAAGCCTATAAATAGTTTAGAGAAAACACTTTAGATTTATTACAAAAGTCAAATTATATAGCTATGTACCAACAGTTAAACCATATATAATTTATATAAGGGAATTATATAAAGCAAAATGAATTTGATTTTTTTTCTACCAAAACAAACAAAAAAATCCTCACCTGTACTATCAAACTCAGCACATTTTTTAGCTTTCAGAACTGCTGCAAGTTCACTGAGCATGTTCTGCTGTTCTGAAGAAAGTCCACTGCCTATAAGTATCAGAGGGCCGCTCCTGCGCTGACCAGTGTGTGCCTGCTAATGGAAAGGCAGATGTGACAGCATTAAAGACACTGATATACCAGAGAATGAAACTATGCTTCATTTACTAGATAGATAGGACCTGGAACTTCATTACTTACTTTACTCTAGCATTTCTGAATAAGCTCCATGACTCATTACTCAACGTCTTAATGCTCAAATGAAAGAGTTATTCTCCTATTTACTGTTTTTCACTTACTAAAACAAACACTGCTTGGAATAGATCTCTATAAACCCAAGGAACTCTTGCTTTCTTCGCTCTAAAACAGGTCCCTATGGGATTTTAAAACTCCCTCTATCACCAGTGAGCTTTTCTTTTTAAGTATCCTTCCTCCCCTAGTGTAGTACAATAAAGTCAACCTCAACTTGGTCTGTTTAAACTGAGATGATAAAGGTAAAAAGGTAAAGGCCCTCCCGTTGATCGTCGATTTGCTCGAGCGGGCCCAGTAACGTCTCCATTGGAGACTTTGTTGTTACTGTGTTTGGCATATCGAATACTCTCGGTAGCTTGCCGGGCTCTCCGAGAGGGGCGGAGGATTCGAACTCGGGTCGGTCATGTTGGCCGCGTGTAAGGCGAACGCCCTACCCGCTGTGCTATCGCTCCAGCCGAATGAGATGATGTGAGAAAAAAACAAACAAACAAAAAACAGCAATGTTTCTGTAATAGTGTTTGTCTCAAAGATGTATATAGCACCTGGCCATCAGAGAAGTTAACTCTAAAAACCAAGAAAACAAAAACACAAGAGAACATAGAAGTTAAATCAAATCCACCAGTAGTACTATCAATGTCACTTAAGAAAAAGAAAAACTCTAATAAAACCTAATATTTTTATTATAATTTAGGTAGTTATAAGAGTTTCAAAGATTATGGTATCAACATGCAAAATTACTACACCATTTTCCAAAAGTATTTCTATATCTCTACTAATATTTTTTATTTTAAATACAAAGACCTGGAATTTAATGGAAACCCAAAAACCAACAAGAAAACAATTTGGAGAGGCAACAGTGAATGGTATTAGAAATTAGAAAGGGCTGGAGAAATAGTATAGCAGGTAAGACGCTGTCCTTCATACCGCCAACCTGGGTCAATCCCTAGCATCACCTGTGATCCCTGAAGCCAGGAGTAAGCCTTGAACATTGCCGGGTGTGACTCAAAACAAAAACAAAAATTAGGAGAAAAAAGTATAAAAAAATGCAGCAATAACAAGTAATGGAATACAGTCTTCAATAGCAGCCAGAAGAATTTTAATAAACTTTACTGCACAGAAATGGAATACGACTTCATCAAAAGTTATTTAATGAAATAGAAGCAATGATCCAGCAAAGAAGAAAAGGTAAATTAGCATTAATGTATTCAACGACAAAAAACTGTCATCTTTCAAATATAAGATATGAAATCCTACAATGTGTCTGTCTGAGGATATATGTATGCTTCTGGGCTCCTGACTTCAATGCTCTTGAAGGTGCGAAGAATATGAGTAAAACTGAAGGTGATCATTAGGATAGTTCAGCAACTTGATTCAAGATAGCTGGTATTTAAATAGTCACTTCAGAGAAAAATAGCAATAATTTATCTAGTCAGATGCCCAACAGTCCTGTCACTGTCCTCCCGTTGTTCATCGATTTGCTCGAGCGGGCCCAGTAACATTGTGAGACTTGTCGTTACTGTGTTTGGCATATCGAATAGGTCATGGGTAGCTTGCCAGGTTTTGCCGTGCAGGCGAGATACTCTCGGTAGCTCTGCCCAACAGTAATGGTGCATTATTGTCCAAGTCTAAGTCTCTATACATACCAATATCTGAATTATTCATTCAAGATGTGTGTCTAATAATTCACTAAAACAAGCATGTATATAAGACAAATATATATTTATTGCAGTTTTTAGCACTTAAAAACTCAGTTTGCCCAACTTATTTCCTGTAAAGAACACATTACAAAGGTTTTACATGTCATGGTACACTTGTCATACAAACATTAGCATTGCATTTCTTACACATGTATCTTTCCTCTTCATTTGCATTATTAGATCATATAACCATGCCTAATCTAAAGATTGCAAATACTCCTTAACATGAAAATAGTTCAATATTTTATGGATTGCTCAATTACTCTAGGCTAATATTAGAAAACAGTTTTTCAAAAAAGTCTTGTCAGTTATACAAATAAAGTGCCATAAAAATAGTTCTAAATGGAGCACATTACTTTTCAATTTATGTAACTCCACTTCAGCTAAATCAGTTCTCTGCACAATACACGAGTGAAGATATCAATTCTAAATATAGCATACGATACTATTTCCACCAACCCAAGGAAAGCACCAAAGTGGGTCAAGCATTTTCTCCTATCATAGTGTTTTACTTGGGATAAAAAATAGAAGCTGGCACTAATTTCTTACAGTTAAGAAATGTTATTAAAAAAAAAAAAAGAACACAAACATAAAGCAAACAGCTGCCAAAGTCACATGCCTGATCTGGGGCAGGATGTGGAAGAGCATCAACCGAGTTTAAACAAACAGATGTCTCGGAAACACAAGGTTCAAAAGACATTCAAAGAACATCCCAAAGGGTCACTAACCCAGATTTTATAGAGATGTGAATAGTATGTATTCTGGTAAACACATTTTATTTGAGGAATAGTTCAGTATGGAACTTCTTCTTAGATAAATTAACTCAACTGAATTTAACGAACTTAGAGTCCTCCAGAAATAGTTGTTGAAAGAAAAGTCTGGGAACGGGCCAGGAATACAGCTCCCCGGGCTCCCTGGCCGGGTCCCTTGCACCAAATGACCCCCACAAGCACAGCCAGGAGTGACACACCACAGCACCATTCCAGTAGTACCCACAGAGACCCCCCCAGATCCAAAAGGAAGCAAAACTAATTTTAACTATAAAACCTTTAAATCATGTCACTAAATAGGATAAACACATTTCTCAAAGGGCTCCTGGGCTGAGAAATGACAAAAGCATCATGGCAACAAGCTTGCTCCTCTGAGCTCGGCTTCGCTCAGTTTTGCTTCGCTAGGCCTGAAGTACTCTCCGATACCCAATTCATCTTCCTTGGAAACAGAACTTCTAACTAGGAAATCCAAGAATTTCAAAGGCTACCCACTCACCTTCTGGGCAACCTCTAGCATTAGCGTGGAAATCACTGATTTAATTCAGTAATTAGCTAAGAAATCAGATTTAAAGGATTTAAATCCCCCGCCCCCCCCCCCCCCCCACACACACACACACAAACAGTTCCTGGGCACTAGAGTTTGGGTTGCTACAATACACAAGAGCAAATCCCAGCACTCACAGTTTATAATAAAGTACTGAGGAAAACACAATATGCTTAGATATGTATATACACATGTATATATTTTTTTTAATCCCCAAACCCTTGCTTTATTTTGCCACGTCACTTAAACCATCTTGTACATCAAGGGTGTGTGTGTGTGTGTGTGTGCGCGCGCGCGCGCGCATAGTCTGCACATTTGTGTAATACATAAAGAGCACCGTTCCAGATATACACAATGTATTAGAAGATATTAAGATGAACCAGATATGCAGGGAGAGAGGAAACTGCCATTCAGGTCCCCAAGTGCATTCTTGGCAGAGCATAACTAGTGCGAAGGATCTGAAATAGGCCATGTTTGGAGCTATCAAGGCCATGTTAGGCAGCTTCGGGCTGAAAAAGATGAGAGGAATTCTGGCACAGTTGCTGGAAAAAGACATCCCAAAACTTCAATTTAAGTACATAAACCATTATTATGGAGTTAGGCTGCTGCCTTACTAGTAGCCACAGCAGCAGGCCCTGCCAGGAATAACCCCCAAGCCAAGAGTAATACCTCAGCACAGTGGGGGTGGGTGCCAAAGTCACAACAAAAATTCTTTCTCTCAATTTAGGTTTCTAAAATCATTCATTACCATCTTTCTTAGCCAAAGTGTCTACCACAAAAATGGCAAAAAATAGAAAAACAGAGACTGTAACTAATGATATGCACAAGGCATGTCCCTGTGACATGCAGAATGTCTATTTCATACCTTGAGTCAAAATCACAGCAGTGCTGGACAGTTGAATTGAGAGGATAATCATTTTCCTCTTTCCTGAAGGACGCTGCTATTCTAAGATCCAAGAATACCATCAAGATATCTTTATTTATGGCACATTTAAAATAATCCTTCTCCAGCTTTTATGTAAAAGGAACACTGGCAAATGATCACTTATGCTATATTCTGCCTGAAGAGTTTATGTTCAAATAAATGTCAATTTACAGATATTTTTAGGGTGGAACTAAATGATGAGTGCTGGTCCCAAATTTAAGACATCTGAGTATATTTTTGTTTCAGGTTCTTTATCTATTGGGGGGGGGGGGGGGCCAGGGGAGATTATGGCCAGAGATTCTCAAGAATACTCTGGCTCTGCACTGCTGGCCATGCTGAGGGCACCATATGGGTTGCCAGTAACCAAACGGGTTGACCACTGTGCCAGGCGGGCACCTTAACCCCAGCACTAGCTCTCCCACCCAAGGTATCTGAATTTGAACTCAACTACCCACTCAAGAAAAAATATTGCCTATGGCCAGTTAACTCTGGGTAAGTAGTCAATTTGCTGTGGTCTGAGCTACCAAGCTGAAGACGGCAAAGTCAGTAAGAATCGGGATGCTGCAAGTAGCCACTTAACTCCCAAGTTAACCGAAGGAAAATGACTTTATATTGGGATTATCTTTAGACAGAGAATACATGTGTCTCTTAAGCATTTGAGGAAAAGCTTTCCTGGTTGTTTTTTATTTGCAGTCAACAACACTTGATGACAACACCTTGATGGAATGTTCACCTTCAAAGGCTTAGTTAGACAGCTGCTTCATCACCTTCCCTGATCCACACCTGAAGTTAGCTTCTTCCTTCTCTCGAGTCTACTCTATATACATTTATGTCTTCCATTAAGACATTACAGCACGCAATGAAATATCTCATATCTAAATTCCCCACTGAGCTACAAACTCCTAAGGAATACACATCCTTTCCACTTGATCTCCAGCCTGTACCTCTGTCCTAAACTTCAGGCCTCCATATTCAACTGTCTATTCAACATCTCCATTGGATGTCCACTAGCCAGCAAACAGCTGGTAAAGAAAACCACCAACTCCCGGGGCTGGAAAGACAGTATAAAGGGTGGGACACTTGCCTCGCATGTTACTGACCTAGGTTCAATTCCCAGTACCCTATGTGGCCCTCTGAGCACCACCAGCAATAATTCCTGAGTGCAGAGCCAAGAGTAACCCCTGGCATTGACAGCTATGACCCCAAAACCACACAAAAAAGAAAACTCTGAAGTTCCTTTTCCAAGGCAGCCCATGACACCATCATTACTCCACTGCTCTGCCCACACTAATTATATTCTTTCCCCAGACTCCATCTACCTATAATCCATCACAAAGCTCTGTTGGCCTTAACATAACACACGAGTCCTCATGACTTCTTATAATCTCAACTGTTACTGTCTTAATCTAGGTCATTATGGTGTTTCTCTCCTATTGTCATGATGAAACAGTTCTAAGTGATTTCCTTGCTTCCATTCTTACCCTTCCATTCAACGTCTTTATTACAAAGCAGTCAAAGTGAACTTTCGAAAGCATAAATCAAATCAGCTTTGTAAAGCATAAATCAAATCATGTCATTCCCTCGCTTTAAATCCTTTCAGTGGTTTCCCATTACTCTTGGATACCCACTAGTCTCTGGCAATAATAACCTTCGCTCTAACCTTCAAACACGTCAATCTCACTCACTAAGGATACAGGCTTATCCAAGCCTATACTTGCTGTTCCTTCTGCCCGAAACCCTTATCCTCCAGGTATTAACCGTGCTGTCTCATTATCCTTCAGATTTCAAGGCAAATATGAGTTTGTTTATTCAGGCTCTCCTTAACAGCCATAGTTACTTGTCCTGAAGCCCACACCACCACAACCGACTTACTCTCGTCACAGTCTTCTCTCATTAGAACTTCATAAGATCATTTGATTTCTATTAGCATCCCTATTAACGATCTCCTTCCTGTCTCTCATGAGGATGTTAAGGTCCACGAGTACCAAGTCCCACCACCCACACTGATTTGAGCGCTGCCTAAAATATGGGGATCCGAGTGGGAGTCAATAAAAATATGTCGATAAATTTATTCCAACTATCTCATTGAAATTTTGGTAGTTGGTAGACAAGAAATGCTCAGTGACTATTTGGCCAGTGAAAGTAAATTGCTAACTGGAAATTTTCCCACTCTGTTCTTTCATAACCAATTTCAATAAAAGATATAAATCCCCCTAAGCTAAACCCATACTTACCGCTGAGCCGTGGCTAGATGATGATGATTCACTCTTCACTGGGAGCAGCAATAGTGATTTCATATTTTCACTGTCTGCATAATCCACAGGCCGCAGACCAAATATGTTACTGGTAAAATAAGTACAGATGGATTTAAGTAAATAAAATGTGTGAGTTGATTATTAACTAAGCGGATGCCTAGCAGAACAACTTTTCAACTTCCTTAATAATACAATTTTTATTAAAATAAATGACTCAGAATCACAGACGACATAAAGATCAAGTATCACAAGCTGCTAAATTCAATGGAGAAAAAAGATATAAAATTCCCATCTGACATCAGACCCAGTATTTTAAGTTAAATATATTGTTACTTACACATCATTTTTTTTTATACAAGTTTGCATTCTTTTGTATTCAGACTCTTTTTAAATGATGCCTTCATAATCATTAACCACTGTGGCTGAGATGCTTTCAAATGCAAATAAAAATCATTTACTACTGCTATTATAGGCTCTTTAGTCTATATGAACAAATAGAGAAATCAGATAAATCCACACCATAGGCATTTAGCTCCACTAAAAGAAAAACAATGCCACATGTCTAACTATTTAACAAAGTAGTGAGCAGGGTACTTTTCAAATCAATTTTGATATGTATACATCTATTATAATAATCATAGCAGAGAACAAACTATTAAGGTTCAAGGAACGGTTGATGCAGAATTCTCAGGACGCATGAATTCACAAGTCACACACTTTCTCCAAACAGACTTCAGAAAATACAGAACACTGTTACCTCAAAAATGAGATAGCCATTTCAATGACATGGCCAATTCCAAAAATGCTCAATATTAACGGTCAAATTATTATTATTGCTAACCTTCAAACTAGTCTAATGCTCACTAAAATGCTCAATGACTTTTGAATTATTAACCTTCAAATTATGAGTGAACTGTTGAAACAATACAACTTTTGTCTTCCACAGCACTGACTTACACATGAACTCAAGGATGTAAAAATTTTCCAAAACTTTTTAAGAAAGTTTCCTAAAATAACCATTTCTTTCACAATCTTTAAACCTCAGTTCTGCATCATGCAAAATGGAGCCCACTGAATCCTGCCAGATTACATATGGCTCTGTTATGGACCAGTGAAATTTGAAATTAGATACGAGTTTTTAAGTGGCACCATCAGAATACCATCACAAGAGGAAAAAGGGCAAAAGTAGGAGTCCTACTTTTTCATAGGAACATGAAAGAAATCAAAATTTTTTTTTCTCATAATGATGTATTTGAAAGGACTAATATCTTGCGAACAGAAGCAGTGTGGAAAATCTATCTTAATTATACATATAAGCTCCGATCTTTCTTTGCATCTCTCCCTCATTCATAGTTAGCAGAGAACAAACTAGTAAGGTTCAAGGAATGGTCTAATATGAACATAATCAGATTTTGTCCTATCATCCTGTTCTGGGGTCAGCTCCTGCTGTGCTCAAGGCTTATTTCTGACTCTTCCTCAGGAACCACTCCTGATGGGACTCAGGGATCCACATGCAGAGTAGGGCATGGAACCAGGACTGACTCATGCAAGGCAAGGACCTAAACACCTGTACCGTTTCTCTGGCCCCACATTTGTTCTTTGAAACAAGTAATGGTAAAAAGAGAGCTCAATGCCACAAGCAAGAAAGACTATCACTATGATCGATTTACTGAAGACAATGGTAAATCAGTTATTTTCCCTCATTACCTAAGGAAGTCATTTTGCTTTGAAATGTTAAGACCAATGGATTCAAGATAAATACTTAGCGCTGCTTTAGTATAAGAGATTACCAAAGGGCTGGCAGAATGATTTTTTTTTCTAAATATATTTCAAAATAGCATGCTCTCTATTTTCCAACTACTTTAAACTAAGTGTTTAACGCTTTAAAAAGCAAGCAAGCAATTCTGGAGGAATGCATAAGACTTAGAAAGCACTGTCCTTACCGACTGTCCTTGTCTACTGAAGATTCTTTCAACAGACTTATAAAGATGATGAAGTATAAACTAAGCCAAGCAATGGAGGTTAAGAATAAATAAATAAATAAATAAAAACAATAATAAAAAAAAAAAAGGATTACCAAACAAAATGTCCTTGAGCTCAGAACCAGAAACAACAATTGGGTGAATGAGTGTGAAGGGCTATTTAGGAAATAAGAACATCTACGCTGAAATGGATGAAACAAAGGGAAGACTTAGGAAGACTTAATCAAGGCTTAAGAATCTGATCGCTATTGTGCTCAGGTGTAGGAGAAAACTCATCAAATAATCAGCCACAAAGAAATGGACAGTTGAAACATAGACAGTATGCAAGCTGTGAAAATAGAGAGCCACAGTGTCTACTGGTTAAAATTGATGTGCCAATGCAACACTAATATAATTAGGGTTGTTTGAGGAATATAAGAAAACATCAACATCTTCACTGCTGAATTTACAAGTGGTGCATGACAGGACAGTAATATCTTTCATCTGTACCACTCTTGACAGCACAGTTCTCTTAGTGCCCTATCAAAGAAAACCTGTTCTGATTACAAATATATTGTAACAGGTTTTGTGGGGTTTGATACTACAGAGACAGTTTACATGAGCTCTATAAGAAAATATGATTTTTACTGACTTATTTTCTTTGTTCCTTCACTAGATACGAGAAAATTTTATCACTTTTTTTCCTTCTCTAGTGTATGCCTACTCAAATTCCATTAGCTGGGAGATTATATCTTACTTTTGAAAATACATTTCATATAAAACTTTTGGTGATTAAAGGTACTTTTCAAGTTTGACAGATCTAAGTACTCATAAATTACTGTTTTTTATTACTGAGAGGTTACTAAAATCACTGCTCCTAAGAGGTCAGTAGATTCTACATAGAAATGTACGTGTGCGTTGATAAACACACACACACACACACACACACACACGTGGAAACTAGAAAAAAATCAATTAAATTTATAACCCACACAGAATGGATATATATATATATATATATATATATATATATATATATATGCTTTTAGGGTAAAAATTACCAACACTATGCAGTCATCGGTAAGGCAAATACTCATTTACTCAAAGGGTACATTGAAGAAATCTTTTAGTTAATGAAGAATCAATGAAATTAAAGGTAGTTTCTATCCTCACAGACCACAGTGCGCCAAAGATTAGGGAAACAAAGATTTCCTTTAAGTCTAGCCAAGTTCTCCCAACATGAATGGAAAAAGAAAACAGCAGAGCACAGAAAGTATTCTATGTCAACAGGATGCCCACAGAGAGGAAAGTTGGTGTGAAGGCTTCAAGACAGTGTGGCAGATTAAAAAGAGCAGCCATATTTGGAGCTAGACTTTCTCTAACGGTAACAGAAAACACCAAACAGTTTTCTCAATAGCTGTTTCCTCATCAGTAAAATGAGAACAATACAACCCTGCTTCATAAGATTCTAATGGGGAACAAATTAATACATCAAAACTATTTAGCCTGGCAGGTAGTAAAAGCTCAGTAACTGCCAACCTACTAATATTATTAGTTTTAACATTTTTGGAAGACAGAGTACAGAATGAAGGTAAGTGAACAAAAGCTACATCTGCAGTGGTGACCTTTATCTTCATTTTCCGTAGTGTTTTGTGTGTGTGTGTGTGTGTGTGTGTGTGTGTACTTCATGTATGCATCATGTATGTGTGTGTGTATGTATTTCATGCATGCATCATGCATCAAATAAAGATAATCTGGCTGTTTACTGAAAGAAAACACAGAAGCCTCTTTCATAACAAAATTACAGTAAGAAATTTTAACTTCCTTTATTATGCAATATAAATAGTATTTAAATGACTCTGAAAATCCTTTTCCTCACTAGATTCTATCTGATCACTAATTACTGATGAAAGGAAGAACTTTAAACCATGATGTTTAACCTTTCACATCCTAATCCCAGAAGACAAGAGGCAACAAGATAAGGTAACTCTTAAATGTATATGGGAAACAGCAGGAACCACTCGTCTCCACAGACCATGTTCTCAGTGGTTTGCCCAATTCTGAGCAGTAGAACAAAGATCTTTATGGGTGGGCTCCTAATCTGCAAAATAAGCAAATTTGGCCTTCAGGGTCCAATTTGGGGTCCTCACCAAGGACAAACTCATTAATGAGAAGTTAGTGTTCTCTTTTACAACCTGTATTCTACTGTCACTGTCCTCCCGTTGCTCATGGATTTGCTCAAGTGGGCCCAGTAACACTGTGAGACTTGTTGCTGTGTTTGGCATATTGAATACATCACGAGTAGCTTGCTAGGCTTTGCCGTGCGGGCGAGATACTCTCAGTAGCTTGCTGCGCTCTCTGAGAGGGGCGGAGGAATCAGACCCAGATTGGCCAGGTTGGCGGTGTACAAGGCAACTGCCCTACCCGCTGTTCTATCATTTCAGCCCAAGTGATACATTTGTATTTCTGGTAACTACTAACAAGACTGCCTCTGAAATATGTGAATTATCAAAACAGTAAGATGCAGGTGGGGAGGAGTTTATCTTTCCAGGATGTTCCATTATGTTTCAGAGACCAGAAGAGGTAGACAAAATCCTCATTACATTTAAGAAGCAATGGGCATAATATGAATATCACACCAAAGAAAATAATGTTTAGAGAAAAACTTTATACCAAAGTCAAGTTCATCCCATGAATCTAATAATCTATTATCATTCCAATGTTATTAATGATGTCGACAGACAAAAAGTATGACCACCTCAATATAAACTCAAAATATCATTTAATAAAGGTAGTATTGTGGAAAAAATACTAAAATAATACAGGAAGAAAAATCTTTCATTTTATTTTTTATTTCAACATTGACAGTGCGGGGCCAGAGACATGAGGGGTAAGGTGCTTGCCTTGCACATGGTCTATCGGGGTTCAATTCCTGTCACCCCACACGATTCCCTGGGCGCGCCAGGAGTGATCCCAAACCCACAGTCAAGAGCCTGATGATCACAACCTGGTGTGGCCCCCAAACAAACAAAAAAATTGACTGTAAGCTTAAGTCACTATTGTTTTAACAAATGAGAATAAGGGAAACAAGAACACCATATAGTGGGGAGGGCGCTTGCCTTGCCCACAACCGAGTTAAATCTTCACCACCCCATATGGTCCCCCAAGCACTGCCAGGAGTGACTCCTGAGCACTGCAGCTGGGGTCCAACCCCTACACCCAAGAAAAATAAATAACAGAAATAAAAGTAAACTTCATGTGAAGGAGCACTTCAGCCCCTCCCTTCACCCCAGCCACCACACCAAAAGTGAGCTACTAAGAAGATAGTCCATAACAATATATGGTTTAGTGATCCCTGAGCACCCAGCGCTGATACATAGGGTTCCTGTCACCAGAGAGAGGTTCATTCCACAGCGACAGGCTATAAATATCCCGAAATCTGCCTCTTGACCGGGTAAGCCTATTTACCAGGACGCGCCTATGTGAGAAGGCACACAACTTGCATATTAAATACGTTTCAGGGTGCAGTGAAGAATCATGGGCGACAAACCACGAGACAGGCCCGGTGCTTTGGCTCATTAATCCTTACTATGCTCGAAAGAAATAGAAAAGCAGCAGGCATCACCCATGTTTTATAGGTGAGGACACCCAGGCATAGAAATTAACCTGCCTGAGGCTGTGAAGTCAATGATGGAGTCACAAATAAAAGCTGGATTCCCTCGCGCCCTGACCGTGCTCCATTCATTAAAGTAGTCACGGCTGATTTAAGAACGCAAGAACGGAAACTCTTCCGTCTCACCCGACCCAAGCAACCACTCGCTTCGTCAAACGGCTTGTTAAGCCCACAGGAGGGTCAAATCTGTAAGGTCCATATACTGATACTTGAACCTTGTTCACGTGTATGCGGAGAATTTTAAAAACTAGTAAATATCCCTTGAACTTGCCCCAAACTCATGGCACATGGGACAAGAAAACGAAGGTTATTTTTACACTTTAACCAAAACAACCAGCGACAAGGCATGGCATATTCCTGAATTATTCATTTGGTTTTTAATTATGTTACACGGTTACCTGTTGAAAAATTACAACCTAGCAGCTCTGCATTTTGTAATTCTTACTTGCCTCTGTAACCAAAGTCTGACTTTTTTTTTTGTATTCCTGCCAATAGAAGCAGTGAAAGCAAAGAGAGGCAATTTGCGCATTTTCATTCCACCTACCTCATTAATTGAAAAATGTGAAATAATGTATAAGGAGACATGAACTAAGTTATAGATTTAAAGATACAAAACCCACATGTTATTCATTTGTGACACTAGCAATGCTTAAATGGACTCGCCAGCATTCCCTAAGGTGCCTCTGTGCCCTAACATTGCAAAACAATTTACCCAGAGCCACATTTGAAGGATGTGATAGCAGAGAAGTAATCTGCCTACACTTGCCCAATATCTAATTCTTACATATTTTAATGGCTGCTACACTATGAAGAAAACACATAAAATAGAATATTTAAAACACTGTTCAAGTATCGAGATGCATACAAAGGAGTTATTTCTGCGATTCTAATTCTTCTCTTATTACTAAGCATTAATCAATCTACAGAACAGAAAAATTAAGTGGAAGTGTCCAGAAAACCAATTTCCAAAATTAATTCAGCAATTATTTCTAAAATTAAAAGACCCAATCTCACTCAAATATTTAAATGCTGTAAAGCAACAGAGCACAGACAGAGAATCTTAAAATCCAGAATATAATGGTCAGAGTTGGCTTTAGTTGTGAAAGAGAAGAGATAGCCACCAACTTGGGACTGACGTAGTTTTCATTACAGGCCTTGGCTCAAGAAGTTAAGTCAAGGGCCTGGAGTGATAGCAGAGCGGGCAGGGCGTTTGCCTTGCACATGGCAAACCCGGGTTCGATCCCCGGCATCCCGAGCACCGCCAGGAGTAATTCCTGAGTGCAGTGCCAGGAATAACCCCTGAGCATCGATCGCCAGGTGTGACCCAAAAAGAAAAAAAAAAAAGAGAAAGAAAGAAAGAAAGATTTAAGTCAATGAACCAAACAGCTTTGACACTGAACTACTTACACAGCATTCTGTGAGGCCCCAGAGGAAAGCAGCAACTTGACTATGTCTATATGGCCATTCTTGACTGCGTCATGCAGCGGTGAGTCATTCTGATACCCAGTGGTGTTCACTAAGGCCTGGTGCTGGAGCAATAATTCTACTACTTTCAGGTGTCCATGATTGCAGGCCTCGTGCTATTTAAATTAAAAGGAGAATAATGAGGAGGAGCAATAAAGAGTCATAATAAACTTGCACTTTAAAATTATATTTCTGAGTCCAGCATGGGTCTTTTTTTAAATATCGTATTGACCTCACGTTGTGGATAGAGCAAATGCCACTGTTAATAATCTCATGGTGGTGGAGAACAATGTTAACTTGATGAAAATGATGGGATTTACTTGAGTCTGAGATCAAGCACCACCTTTTTTTCCCCAAAACAAAACTGTATCTTTAAACCAAATGAACCAAGTAGAGCTCCTACACTATTCTGAAATAATAGTGTTATTATATGTATATATTCTATTATTATACTATATATAACATGATCACGAACATAAGGAACAATGCAGAATGAGGATTTATAAGACCATCTCCATCTGCATCGCTATATTAGTGGTTTTGGCTGGTGTCAATGACAACAGAAATAACAGGGGGAACGTGCTCAGAAAGAGCTTACTGAATGATTAACTGGCAACAATGCACTGATCATAGATGCCTCACATGCAAATCTTGCCTCAAGTCGAATGAACAGAAATATCACTATTCTAATAAATCTCTAGCATACTACGCTATACATCTCTTCAACTCGGAATAGCTGATATCCCATTAAGCTTCTATTAAAACGAGAAAGAAAATCAAATTAGACAAGAAGTTCTCTAGATCCTCAATAAGCTTTACTACAATTTGTCTTGTAATTGAGGGGAGTTAGTTTCTTCAGAAAGGTACGCTTGGCTGTGAAATCCAAACAAAATGATTCTGATTCAGACTTGCGAGTTAAAAAGCTGGCAGGAAAACACAATTTTAAATCTTTCTTTGAACCTGGTGTAGCACGAGACTCTCCCAATTTCTGTGCAGAATTCTCCTTTTGTCAGATATCCGTGATAAGGCAAGGATACCCCCTTCCAAGCCCTGCTTCTATTGGCACTTCTATCGCTCTACCTAAATCCCACAGTTGAGGCTGGAGAGAAACAAGAACAGGCAGGGCCGTTTGCCTTGCATGCACTCTGCCAATCTGGGCTCAGTCTCCGGTACCTCATATGGTCCCCTGAGCCTCTCCAGGAGAGCTCCCAAAGCACACAGAACCAGGAGGAATAAGCCCTGAGTATTGCCAGGTATTGGTCTCCAAACCAAAAAAATTTAAAATGTAAATAATTCCATCCTGATTACTATCATAATAATTAGCCAAAGCAACGCCATTTCCAGTTATTTGTGATATTCATCAAACTTATTATTTTAGTATAAGCAAGGTCTTTTAAAAACGTCCAATGTAAGCAAACATTTCTACTACCTCTACGTATATGTAATTGGAAAAGGCATAAGTGAGGCTAAGATAGACCTTTAGTAAGAAACATTACCTGTGATACATTCCCATACCCAGACCCTCTCTCCTCTCATTCATTCTTACTTTCAAAGTGTAGCACTCGCACTTGTAGCAATTGTCCTTCCATCATCGATTTGCTCGAACGAGCACCAGTAACGTCTCCATTGTGAGACTTGTTGTTACTGTTTTTGGCATATCGAATATGCCACGGGGAGCTTGCCAGGCTCTGCTGTGCGGGCGGGATACTCTTGGTAGCTTGCTGGGCTCTCCAGGAGGGACGGAGGAATCAAACCCGGGTCGACCGCTTGCAAGGCACATGCAGCCCTACTCACTGTGCTATCGCTCCAGCCCATCATTGCAGTAAAATAAAGAAAAATGTTTTCAGATATCTATAAGCTGTTTGGCCTTAAATGAGAACCATACATCCAGACTGATCTATTACTCTATATTATAGATTAACCTGCTTATATGAAAATGGGAATCTATGATTTATGGCAGAAACCTGTCAGGTGGTCCCAAAGATCTCTAACTTTCTGGAATTCTTATTATGTAGTAACTTCCTATGCTCTAAAAGAGTTGATTCATATGACCAACCAGGTAAGGTCATAAAGACAAGAGTGCCACTCAGATATCTCTTGCTCTTGGGTCCTGGCTTTGAGGGAAGCCAGCTATGTATCATGAAGATATTCTAATACTAAAAGCCTCATGTCAAAAGCTATTTAGGGAAGCTTGTAAGAAGATCAAGCTATTCTCAATCAAGCCATTTGATGATTGCAACTCTGGCCAACATCTGCATGACAATCTCAAGAGAAACCCCAAGTTACAATTGCCCGGCTACACCAGAACATTCTGCTAAACTGACTCCTAATCTCTGACAAATAGAAAACATGAGATAATAAATAGAAATATCTCAAGCCAATATAAAGGTAAAGGTAAAGGCCCTCCCGTTGATCGTCGATTTGCTCGAGCGGGCCCAGTAACGTCTCCATTGGAGACTTTGTTGTTACTGTGTCTGGCATATCAAATACTCTCGGTAGCTTGCCGGGCTCTCCGAGAGGGGCGGAGGAATCGAACTCGGGTCAGCCATGTTGGCCGCTTGTAAGGCGAACGCCCTACCCGCTGTGCTAGGGTAATTATTACATAGCAAGAGACAACTAATGTAGAATTATATCTGTATATGTCCTGTAGCACTGTAGCACTGTAGCACTGATCTCCCGTTGTTCATCGATTTGCTCGAGCAGGCACCAGGAACGTCTCCATTGGGAGACTTGTTACTGTTTTTGGCATATAAATATGCCTTGATATTAAATACTAAGTGAGGAATAAATGCCAGATTACAAACCTGAGAAATCAACAAGGAGAAATCAGGTTTCAATAAAATACCAATAATGAAGAAAGGAGACTAATGTCAGTTGCAGCAAGGAGTTCTCAATACGCCAGCTAAATTCAGCAATGGAGTGTTGCTGGCTTCCTATGTTTCAAGATAAATCGGTTCAAGAGGTAGACATTTTTTTGCCTGTCACACTGAAAAGCTAAATAAAAATAACAGTTCTCTTAGTGAAAAACGTAAGTTCATCAAAGAGTCGGCGTATGGTGTAGGATAGTCCATAAATCACTAAACTATCAACTATATACAGTATGAAACGAACAACATGAGAAAAGGAAACTACCAGTGGTGTCCATCCAGCATGGTCCTTAACATTTGGGTCATTTCCGTTTTGTAAGAGGTATTCAACAGAAGGCACGTCACCCTAGTAAGAAAAACAAAAAGACGTCAATGAAAGAGAAAAGGGTATTAATTTTGTTGTGTTTGTTGGTTTCGTTTTGTTGGCTTTCGTGTGCGTGTGTGTTTGTGTATGTGTTTTCTCTGGTTTGGGGGCAATACCCACTGTGTTCAGAGCATATGTGGTGTCAGGGATCGAACCTGGGCCTACTGTGTATAAGACATGACAAGATAAGCATCCCAGCTGCTATACTATCTCTCCAGCCCTTTTGTTGCAAACAGTACAGTAGATAAGGTACTTGCCTTGCACACAGCTAACCTGGATGCCATCTCAGGCACAATAAATGCTCCTGAGCACTGCCAGGAGAGAGCATGGCCAGCACTACCACAGAGCCAGGGGTAAGCCCTCCGCACCACCAGGTTAGTCCAAATCCCACGCCCCCCTCTCCCCTCCCCAAAACACTTTCAACTTTTCCCTTGTGCTTATTTCTCATAAGTCTCTAATAAGCTACATTATACTGGGGCTGGGGTATAGTACAGGAGGGAAGGTGCTTGCCTTATATACAGCCAACCCAAGTTTGATCCCTAGCACCTCCGATGGTCCCCCAAGACCATCTGTCAGGAGTGGAAGCCTTGAGCAAAAAGCTAGAAGTAAGCCCTGAGTACTATTAGGTAAAGTCCCCAAACAAAACAAAACAAAAGAATATCTACACGCAAGTTTTTCTGAAGAACTACATGGTCATGAAAGTCATATGTCTGAGTACGGCCACATTCATGGCTGCGCGATATCTCAGACTTTACACTAATGATATACCAAGGGTAGCACACCACATTTCATGGGGTTTAAAGTAGAAGGCAACGAATCTTAGGGGAAAATACATGTATATATTATATATAGATACATATAAAATGAAGTTATATAAAATACATATTATATACAGAAATATATATAGGCACCAAAGGCTCAACCTTTAACAACATATTAGTAATCTCTTATAGAAGGGCTTAATGGCTCCTGGGTGAAATACAACAATCTCCACACACTTCCATCTAAGGAATCTTTCTGGGATCACTTTTAGCGGATTATGCATAACAAGAAATACAAAATAAATTACTTTGGTTCATCTTTGGGGGAAGGGTTTGGGGTTCCGGAAGGGAACATTCGAAATATGGTAGTGGGATGGTCTAATAGTGGTGGGATTGGTGTTCAAATATTAAATGTAATCAAATATTTTGAACAATTTTATAAAAATAAAACTGAGTTAAAAAAAAGTCATTGGTCTATCCTTGAATATCCAGCAACTGATATTAAAATTAATTTCAAAATACCGAGCCAAGGGCATCAGAGAAAGCTCACCTGACCATAAGTTTTAACTCATCATTTGTGAGAAACATCAATTTGAGCATACATAATGACAGTCTTTGCAGATTATTTCAAAGAGTCAAAGACAAACGGCTACCCAGTGAAATCAATGTTAAAACTGCCACCAAACTGTTGGCCCAATGGCAGTTACTCTATTTATCCTTAATGCATCAGTTTACAGTCATCTGTGAAGAATTATTTTTCAGGCAGAAGCAAAACTTATGTTCTCAAAAAAATAACTGACATATCTTATTCTGAAAAGGCTGAATAAGTAAGTTACATATGATAAAAGTCACTTATGACAATGCTACGTTCAAGATAGCTTGGTGAAGTGTCTTTAGCAAGCAAATCTCTCCCTTACAATTCCAAATCCCAGCACTCCTCTGAAATGTGGGGTTTTTTGTTTGTTTTTTTTTTGTTCTTTTGGGGTCACACCTAGCGATGCTCTGGGGTTATTCCTGGCTTTACACTCAGGAATTACTCCTGGCAGTACTTGGGGCACCATATGGGATACTGAGGATTGAACCCAGGTTGGCCACGTGCAAGGCAAATGCCCTACCCGCTGAACTATCGCTCCAGCCTCCTGAAATGTGTTTTTTATTTAATCTCTCTTGATGAGCTGCCTGCACAGAGTAACATTCACTTGTGTCTGAACGTTAGGCTACCTCTCCAACATAGCAAATCTGAAAAATGGTCATTTCGTTTTCACTAAAGACAAATCCACATGCAGCATAATGTTTTCCTTTGTTCCTAATGTAACAAAATGACCTGGGATACTCAGAGCAAGCATTTGAAATTTCAAATCAATCGCCCCACTTGCAATTAAAAAAAAAAAGACTAAGTAAAAGTCTTCCCATAGTTCCTGAGGGATATCATGCTCCCACGCTAATGCCAGTGATCACAGCTTCACCATGCCTGGCTCCATATATGCATGAGCTCAGGAACAACTGACAAGCTACACACTCAAGGTGTTTTCAGTCCCAAGAATACCGGATCAAAAGAGCAGTGTACACTCTTAACCTTCAACATGATTTTTACACACACACACACACACACACACACACATACACACACACAAAATCCCTTATTCTAACTCTACAGATAATCACAAAACTTCCCCTAGAGAAGTCTATAAATTAACATGAACACAATTATCGTAGGATGAAGAGGAACATCACAGTGACAATGTAAGAGACTAAGCAGAATTTCTTTAAGGTTTCTAGACAGTAGTATTTTCCTTTCATGTCACCGCTTCATATTATCTAAGGTGCCTCCTGTTAACATTCTACCCCTAGACTTTCCCGAAATGTGTAGATGATTTGTAAACGGTTTGCTTTTTATACTCAATCTGCTCTCTCCTCCCTAGTACTTAAAAGTCTGTCATATTTTTATTGTTCCACTTTATGTAAATTTAATGTCATGCACATAAATAAAATTATGATAATTAGATAGGGCCCACAGTAACTGGGTAAGCTTGAACCAATGCGAAGTTTCCGGGAAATAAATTAAGTTCTGCTTTTGATTCCTTTAAATTACTTTCTTCTCTAACAGAATATTTTCTCGGTAACAGACACTCGCTTTTAGCCTCCTCACGACTTAAAGGAATAATTGAGATTTTCCTAAACCATAGCCGGCAGGGGCTGGGAATGAGGGTCGGGAATCATCTAAAAAAGTATTTACCAAGGAAAGAAATCTTAAATGGAGTTGGTATTTTCAATAACTTTTAGACTGAAAACAAAAGGGTACGTATGTCATATTGAATTTTTGATTTTTATATTGAGTTTTCTTATTGCTTATCTGTAAGAGGAAAGAATACACATATTCACAAAAATTACAACAATATAAATTAACTTTCTATACACACACACAAACTTTTTTCCTTAATAAATGTTAACTGTTCCAAAATACTATTAGCAATACAGACACTAATATATATATATATATATATGAAAGAAAAATAGCACAGGACCACTGCAATTAGTATGATTTACTCAAGTAGCTTACACTATCTACATTAAATAAACTTTTTTTTAAAGTTCAGATATCTGAATTACTTCCCTGACTCCTTAGCCAGTTCATGGAATACAGGAATTTTACAGATGACAAAGTTACAGGTTAGAGGAGAAAGGCATTGCTAGTTCGGTGGCGGTGGGTGACAGAGGGAAGCAACAATCCTTCCGAAAGCTGTCCTAGACATGAAAATAAATATTGGGAACATCTCGGACATATGCTTTTGATTTCTCTCCTACTTTCTCCGGGAAGCTGGTGTGAAATTACAAAGTCTGGAGCAGGGCCTCACAAGGCTTTCCCACCGCTCCGTAGACCCTCTGCACCTCTGCGGTAATAAGTCCATCACGCCTCACAGGTTGCCTCAAACTGTTCTCTTGGTTCACATCAGAAATACATCATGGCATGACAACTTCCAGCCGTTCTTGTATTTTATCATCTGTTCACTGCCTTGGCATGAACTACAGTCACAAGCATCTTGAGAGTTTGTGCTAGAGAAATTGGGGGACATTTATTCCAGCACCTACAAATTTTCAAGTAAAGGTGACAACAAATCAAAAAAAAAACACAAGAAATCAAGAGAAATGTCAAATACTGATGAGGACTTTTATTTTTATTAAGTCCTAAGAATGTGCTTATCCTTAGTTTCTACTTAAGCATAACAATTTTCATAATATAACAATGTTCTCAATGTTATTTTAACCATGGATGGCATGCATATGCAAATAAAAAAATGGGGGAATAGCTTAAGTGGATCTTAATTTTTGTTCCAATTAAATGAGAATGTAAACAGGATACCTGATGTATTTGGAAACATCCTGTGTGGTTTTGAAAGAATAATAAAAGCATAATTAAAGAATTCTTGAATTCTGCATAGGTTTTGCATTGAAAAGGTGCTGACTGCACAAAAGCTAGCTGGCAAGACATTAAGTTCATGATCTTATGCGGAAAAAGATTTAAGATTTGAGGGTACCACAAACTGTAACTCTTATGTTACGTGTCCACATTCAGAGAGCCTGACTACATGGGCAGTTATTGAGAAACTTCCAGAACCAACAAGGTTATCAAGATAAATGACAGATTATTTACATTAACCCAGAAATCCTCTAGGTATTTATCCCAGAGACATATGTCATCAGATATGAAACAAAAGATTACTTATATAGCACCGTTTATAAAAGCAAAGGAAAGAATCAGGAAGCCATGTGTCAAGAACCAGTTCACTAATAAAAATTAACACCAAAATCTGTGTTGGTGTCAAAATGTACAGAAAGCTGTGCACCAAAATGGAAAACATTGGCTTAAATTTGCATAAAGAAATTCACAACCGGTATACAGGAAAATAATAGCAGCTTGTAAGAAGAGATTGTTAGCAATGGGTGACAGGGGCAGAATGGAACTTGGACTTTAACTATAAATACTTTTATTTATTCTTACTTTTGAAATGGGCTAGAGCGATAGCACAGCGGGTAGGGCTTTTGTCTCACACCTGGCCAACTGGGGCTCGATTCCTCCGTGCCTCGTGGAGAGCCCGGCAAGCTACCAAGAGTATCCCGTCCACAAGGCAGAGCCTGGCAAGCTACCCTGGGGTATTCAAAATGCCAAACACAGTAACAAGTCTCACAATGGAGACGTTACTGGTGCCCGCTCGAGCAAAT